CGCGTTAAAATTCTTCCGAGAAAAAATATTTATGAGTTAAAATAATAGTAAAATCTGGCAATAGATTCTGCTAAAAACCCTTGTATAATATAATTATGTAGGTTATGGAATTAATTTTATTCAAGTTACTAGTTTAGATTTATATCTATTTGATTAATTGCAAACAGTTAATAGTTTAACTTAAACTCTGAATAAAATATTGAAAAAAATGTATTTACATATTTTATAATATAATTAATAAAAAGTTAAAAATTTATTTTATACGAAATTACTTAAATTAATTTGTAATTTCAGGATAAGAATTGAAATTTACCTGTTTAATCACTTAATTAAAACATTAATAAACACTTAATTCTGAATATTTTCAATGTTTTTACATCATAAAGTACAGTAAAAACTCGATTATTCGTAAGTTTATGTTAACCGTCAGTGTGAAGTAGAGTTTCTTTTTGCTATTGTCATAATGAAGTTGATAATGTACAGTACTGTACGTATTGCATTGTATGCTGGTTAAGGTACTGCGCTGTACAGTAGATAAACAGTTGATTGATTATACAGTAGGCTACTGTATGTACGTATAAGACTGTGTATTAATTGTGAATTATACATTAATTTTTCTGTACTGTAAGGAGAATTCTGTTATCCGCCTATTCTCATATCCATTAAGGTCTCGATCCCGAACCTTGACGAATAATAGAGTTTTTGTTGTATATGAAAAAAAATATAAATTATAAATGTAAAAATTATAGAAAGAGGCCTGTATCTACTTGTTTATATAATATAAAAACTGTTGTAAGACCAGGGCCGGATTTACACTTGCTGCTTTTTTGAAAATAAGGCGAGGTCCCTGGTAATGTCAAGTCTTAAGCTGTAATTTGTTTACAGTTGTCTAATTAAAATAACTACTACTGATATTAAGAGGGCCCGAATTAGAATGTGCAAACCTACATTCACCCCTCTATCATCGGATGTAGCCTCTAGTTCTGCGAATGAAAAATCTCTTAGACATTATATACAAATTACATGTGTATAAGTGAGTTTGCCACATTCAAATCTTATTCCTGTAGTTATTTGATATTTTCTATTAATTATTTACAAAGATAAGGGCCTCTTCTGATTATGCTATTGCTTGTTTACCTTATAAGTAACACTGGTTCTACTTATAAGTCTTGCAGTTTATAAATCTGCACTTTTATCAGTTTATATACAAACTTTTTCTGTTAAAAATGCTTATCGTTAAGTTTTAAATTAATTTAAAAGGACTTATCTTCGGTTTATCCATTAATTATTTAAATTTTAAGTATTATTAAACAAATTTTTTCATTCGAAAGAATTAAAAATATGCAATAAACTCATACATATCGATGATATCAAGTTTAAATTCATCTTCCTTTATGTAGAATTATTGAATTTTTTAGCAGTAAAACCCAAATAAATTTCCAATAATATGGCTCTTATACCATGAAAACAAATTATTATCTACCTATATATAAATTTATGGATTTGTTGAATGAATAAAATGAAGTTATAAAAATTCTTTCCTATTGTCAATTGCGCGTTCTCTTGTGACATTTACTTTAATGATACATTAATTGAGCAACACACAAATGTACTTGTTAATGTGAATTCTCTAATGCTCATTATTAAAGAAAATGTCATTTATGAATAAAATTAACATGAAAATCTTCATTAAAATGAGGTAATGAATATCGTAAGAACCATTTACAGATGACGAAATTTTCTTTAAGGCCTTCTACGCGTTCCAATTTGATAAGGCCTATAAATATTAAAATCTTTTCTTTTTTACTTTATCTTAAGTTTTAAATATGCTTAAAATGCCTTTTTTTTAACCTTCTAAAACAAACTTATTTTCGATAAATGAAGTCTTTATATTCATAACGAGTAAAAGGCCTTTGTCTTTATGAGGTCTTCCTGTTTTTTCTTCATTCTATAATTCATTCTTGGTTCACTTCATCCTTTATTAAATCAAGAATGATGGTTTGCACTATAAATTAGACCGTTCTTCCCAAAACAGGTTAGTATCAACTTCAAAGGTATATTGCTAGAAAAATATATTTATGTATCTAGAAAAATATGCATAGGAGTTTTTATTTTCTTAAAGAAGGGTAAAAAAATTAATAGCTTAAATTTAATTTATTCAAATGAATTTTTCACGGTATTAAAAGGTCAACGGGTTAACGCACGTTGGTTTAAGACCTAATTTTTAAGATGGACGTGAAAATATTTCTATGGGCGTTGACAGTAATAGAGGCATCTATATTCCAAAAGAAAGGAAGTTTGTGCATCCATTTCCTTATATGGAAAAGTGTTGGAAGGACGGTAGGGTGAGGATCCATTATCTTTATTGGACGAATTCGTCAAAAGTAACCAATCATAAGTTGAGTTTTATGTTAAAATTTTTATAACATTTTTAACAGCATTTTTAAAAATACATTATTTTGATTTATTACAAACAACCGAATACATAAAAGTAGTAGAAATTCTTACATAAAGTTAAGCTATTCATCAATGTGTTGTTCAAACTTGTTTATTCTTCTATACGATAAAACTTGCCAGTCGATCAGTTTAACCTATTTATTCACAAAAAAAATTATAAATTTTTATTATATGCATTCAAATTATCACAGCCTACTACGAATTTTGAAAGGTTAATTGTGTTGTGTTAGTTTATTCCAATAGATTAGTCTATATAGATAAAGAAATAGTCTATATAGAACAGTAAAAGCTTAACAAGGTTTAGTAAGATAATATTTATATTGTATAACTTAATTAAATAGGGATCAGTTCTTTATAATGATGATTTCTTTTTGTTATATTTAATTATAATTAAATATTTATTGCGAGTGTCAAGAGATTCTTCGCATTTACTCCTTTCCATCTCTAAAAACAGCGAAAAATTCCAAACTTATGCGATGGAAAGATAAAGGATCAATATTATATAAAATACTCAAAATTGTATAAGTTATTCTCTGTTATTTTACTAAAATAATTAAAAATAAATTATCAAATAAATCAACGTATGCGTTACTTGTAGCCTATATAATTTAAATATTAGGTTAACTAGTTACAAACTAACCTAATATTTGTGAGAAACNGAGCGACCTGCCATAATTTTTAAATAATTTTCAATAGTTTTCTGGTGATTAACTAATTTTCGACGATTGTTAAGGCATAGATCTGCTCTGTACAGGCTACAGGTTCGAATTCCAGAAAGTTTTCATCAGTTATATCTCGAATACGTTGCCTCTCTCGTTCCCATTGTGAGCTTGATCAAACCTATTATAGATATGAAAAAAAATCCTCTTTGTGTCCTTATGGAAGAAAGAGTAAAAGAAAAAGAAAGAAAAAAATAAAAGAAAAACATATTTTATTTAATTTTGTATATAAATTTCAGTAGAATTTATCGTTTCCTAATTAAGTATTACAAAAAAATGCTGCGAGATACGTCGTTGATTTTTTTATCCTTTCCTTTAAATTTACTGATCCATATATTTTGTTATTCTCAAAAGAATATGAACCCCTTATATTCCATAATGTATTATATTTTAAAACTTTTCTTAAAAGTCAAGAATAGATAAATTAATTTAACAAACAACTGACAAATGGTAAACTCTAAATGAAGCATCAATTGGAAAAACAAAGCATGAATATCGCAGATATTCTTGAAAAATTGTTTAAAAAGTTATTAAATTTATATATAGATAACGTTATAGAATAAATATATACTTTCGTATGGGTGACAGCAAAAATATTATTTAAAAGTCTGTTCAAGTATAACAGACCGAAACTAACGAACAGCATTAATTTAATTAAATAGTTAAATGTATTTCTTTAATTTGTTAAAAAATATATTTTATAACTTTAATTCTTTCAAGACAGTTTAATTTTTTAATATTTCTGTATTTTAATAAGGCTTTAAATTTAATAAATATTCTCTTCATTTGTATATTTCTTCGTAATAAATCTACAACAAACCGTACAGAAGCATATAATATTTTCGTTAATTTTGCTAATTTCTCTTAAAAATAAATTTTATAAATTCTAAAAGAATATTTAAAAATGATTTAATATCGAAATAAATATGTTGCCATTGATAAATAACGTTCTTAAATAAGCCTAGAAAGCTCAATTATCTTTGTTATATTATTTATCATGATACAGATTTATATTTTTCCTTCTTCTATATTGAATGAAATAATAAATTTGTATGTTATTTTTTGAGAAATACGACATATTTGAGACGACATTAGATTGAAATTTAGTGATAATTATTTATTACTTTAAAATATATTAAAAAGCTATAATATACAGTCAAACTTCGATTTAGCGTTACCATTTGTTACCTCTGAAATTGGCGCTAAATAGAAGTAGGCTTACTTTAAGGAATAAGAATTACATCTAGTAATGGAATCTACACTCAAGTTTGAAGTTTAGGTATTTTAAAGTCACGTGCTTTGACTATACTGTCATTTACGATGAAAAATCGTACTGTACATTTGGTAATTTAGATACTGAGGAGTTCTCTATTTAATATTCATTTGAAAGATCTATACATAACCATTCGTTGGCGCTTTACGAGAGTGGCTCTAATTAGAAAGTCGCTATTACCAGCATCTATTGTAGATCTATGATCTATTGTAAGGACAAAAAAGTGAGAAAGATACGAGAGAAGGGACATTGTTATATTATATATATTTTTAGATTCGTCTGTGGTATGTAAATATAAATTTATTAGATTACTTTATAAAAATCTATGTCAATCTGTGTAAAAGATGTCTTCTTACAATATTCAAATTTCATTCTGTCGGTTGTGTTTTATAGAATTTCCATGCTACAAAGTGAATAAAAAATATGATATTGTAACTTAAGGAGCGATACATGCATTAAGTATATATAAATTTTCTATAAAACTTTCATAGGGGCACAGGATCTATAACTCATAGCAGTCAGACAAGTCAGAAGCTTAATCTTTATTTCAGACAAGGCATTATCTGTATTTATCATAATACCTACGCATGGACCTGGTGACCGAGGTGAAGATGCACGCCCAGGAAACGGAAGAGGCGCAGTACTATCCAGAGATAGTACCAAACAACAGAGTGCACACGATTGAAGAAAAGGGAGCGACATCTCAGTTGGCTTCAAAAAAACGACACACCCGTCATTCACAACACTCCAACTATTAATTCTTTCATCGAAGATCTAACATAAAGGTTAAGAAACTCGATGACGTATATCTAACTGTCCCTAATTACACCTTAATTATAGAATAACGTTATACACGGGTACGGTACACAGAGGTAATATAGTAATGAAGCCGTTTGGTATATTTGGACCATTGTCTATATATTTTTTTTAAGTAAACTAAAAAAATTGCTAGACTAGCAGGTGGTCTCTAGGGAGGAGTTATGATAGAATTAATGCTATTTTCTTCTAGCTAGGTAGTCACATGCCGAGCTTGTCAAACTCGGAAGCAATGGGGAATGTCAAACATATTTAGGCTAACAGGATACGGAAGCTTAACAATTTCTTACTTATTTATTTGTACCATCGACGATGCTTTTTTTTTTTTTTTATCAAAATGGTTAATATTTCGGTAAATATTGTAAAATTTATCAATGTTTCATCTCTACACTGAACGACACATATGGATTTAGAAATATCTCAACAATATTGTTAGAAGAGAGTGTTTAAGTCAAGTATAGAGATGTTTCATGGACATTTTGGAGTTAAGAATAAGTAAAATTTTAATGTTTTTTGATCTAGAAAGAATATTTAAATTTAGAAATGTTAATTAACACTTCCACGGACAAAGCGCTTAACCGTTTATAGGTTTATATATATATATAATAGGCATGTTTATTTTTGAGTCGAATTTATTTTCATAATTTATAACTTTAAATGAAAATTTATAATTGACTTCATTATTTGGAGCCGAAAATTAATAATTTTTTTGGAAGTTTGATCATATTCTTGGCGTGGATATTATTCTAAAATATTCATTCATTTCCAAGAGACGATAAGGATTTATAATTACTCATAAATCGAAGGTAAATACGGAAAAGACGGATAAATAAATGAAACATCAAATTAGGGTGGCATTTATAACATTAGACGACGACAGATGGCGCAGTTGTAACATGGGACAATTACCGTTACCGGAGGGCATACAGTTGAGGTGGAAATCGACTACGATCAGTCATCATCGATACGATATAAGGGGTGCCCGCATTTTCTCAACAACCTTTCACCTCTAACAGAAACAGACAGACACAAGTAAAAGTTATAAAGGTAAAAAAAATAAATGGATCCACTCGAGGGCAAATATTTGTCCATCTTACAGTTGATACTGTTCCTTGGTATGCCCATAGGCAACTTTTTGAAGATTGTGAACCGGCAGAGACATACACAAGACGATAATTACAGAGTATCTATCTGAAACGCAGTCTGCGAATCATTAAACGTTTTTTAACACAACCAATCATTAATGTCAACTTTCAACTTGAAAGGGGGACAGATTACAGAAAGGGGCGTTACTTCTTTCCCCTTTTAGGAACAAACGTCGCTATTTTTTTATTTTTTATTTTTTTTCTTCTTCTCTTTCTTTCTATGTTCTTTGCATTGAGCATTTGTGTGCACCTCGGGATATTAACCAATTAAACATTAAATATAATGTAATACAGCAATTATTAGACTTGTAAGAAAGCATTTTTTTTTTTTTTTTGTTCCTTATATTTACTCATGGCTTGTGTGTGTTAGAAGATAAAGAAATCTTTACTTACTACAGTCGTAGATCGGTGGGCTTTCTTGTCATCATCGTTCTAAAAATTCTTCAACACGCAATTTAATAAGGCTCGTTGTATTCTACGAGCATTTGACTGATTAAAATAAGTCTTAAACTGTCATATATGATGATAATTTAAATCATTATCGTAATATTTAATGAGAATTTTTCCATTCTTTAAGTCAGTTAATTGGGAGTTTTCGCAAATAACGCCCAAAAAAAGTAAGATATTTCGATGTCAATACTCTTGGTGGGATGGCGAAAACTGTATGCAAAATATAACCATTTAAGTGGTATAGAATATATTATTTCGTTTACCGTTTTAGCATAATTTATATTATTAGAAATGCCTGTAGTCCAATGAAAAATGAACGTGATGCCGTTCTAAATTGACAGAAAAAATTGTGTTCCGACTCCCTGAGGCATACATGATGGTCATGTATCGATCACATCAGCGGGAGACTTTATAACGACTCTGTCAGTGCCACTAACATCCTCCTTGGCACGTCATACAGCTTTTGAAATGCATCTGAATGACTAGGAACTATCATAATTTTTTGCACTAATATTTGCAAGATGAGAATTTTAAAAATGTCCGCGTAAAAAATTGGCGATAAATGAATGTTGAGTGTGGTAGTGACATGAGATGGATCTGAGTTAAGAAAAAAACTTCTTTAGAATAATTTATGTGCCACATTTTCCATATTATGATAGATGCGTTTTAGAAACTGTAAAAAACCTTGACAATTATAAAGGCGCCCGGTAAATCTATAAATATTATTTAACGAGTTTAGTTGAAGTAAAAAAGAGGGGAAAGAGGTATTGATGAAGAATTATCTAAGAGAAAGTGAGCTATATTAAAATTCACAACATTCGTTCGACTCATCAATAGTGCTCTGAACATAATCAACTCGCACCTCAAACTCGAGTGGCAAGATAGCGTAAAGAACCGGAAATTTGACCTTTGACCTGTCGATCGCCTTTCATTCTATCTCTTCAGCACCTGCCGTACTCAAAGACCGTACGTCTTGCCCTTCTAGCAGTAAACACTAACAAATCAAAGCGCGTTTCTGTTCATCCGCTTGTCAGTCGTTGTTGATATCAGTCACAACTCTTTGCAATTAACTGCGTGTCCAATGGAATCAGCCGGGATCCAGCCCGAGGCTATACAAGACAGATAAATTTACTAGTAATTAAAGACACTAATAAATTCTTCTTGAGTGGATGTTAGTCACCTCTTCACCTTCGGTGAAGGAGTCATTCAAGTCATATTGATTCATTGACTTTAAGACAATGTTTCACCACACGTTGGCTTCAAAAATTGCCAAGATTTGTGGGTTTATTGCGGCTATAGGATATAAAAATACGGGATGGAATCAGAAGTGGGTAAATTAATCTCCTTTTAATGGAAATTTGAAATTAGTCCATAAAAGGTATAATAAAAGCTGGATCCATATCCCCTCGGGCTCTTTCACCTATAAAGTTTTGTGGTGCACCGGTGATAAATTTCGTGCCATTTAATCATTATAATTCTTACTTTTTTGTCAATTATAGGCTGTGTTTGTGAATTTTATAGTAGCTTTTATTGAACGGTTTATGACAAATTGAATTACTTTTAAAAAAGACGCTCTAGAAATATTATCATCACCTTAAATAAACTTTGAACGTAAACCCCTGTTGCTGCCTTATTTAAAAAAGAAAAAAAATCAATTAGTTTATTCCTGTTATAAAATTCCTCCTGGGTTAACAACCCATTATATTCAGTATTAAGTAAATCAAATTTCTGTACCCAATTTTCAACTACATCCTGGAGAAGTGTTCCGCATTACTAAATTATAATAGGATACAGGATCCTTTAAACGAGTCTGTAAATTTAAATAGGATTATTTAGAACATTGTAACCTGGCATCCTATAAATCTAAATACAAGTCTCATCATCGAGTGCGAATTCATTTCGAGATTTAGTACTTCAATTTATATTAATTTGTATTCTAGCTATCATTAAATATCATTAATCTCAATCAGTCCTTTATAGAAGAGATTAATGTAGTTTTTTTTTCTCTATGTTGTATATCTTTAACGTCACTTCCATTGATCTATATAAAAAGTATACTTATTAATTAATATTAGAGTAAATTCTGAGCATTAGAAAGTATCGTATAATGGAGTTAAGCGGGTCAGAAGCCCCATAGGTAAAAATTTTGACCCGCTCATCTCTAGAAATATTGTCATTTTTTTCATTAGTTGTATGAGGTAAATATTCTGTTTTTTGATGGGCGTCACTAGAAATTCTGTCAGCTGATTTTCATTGATAACTACCCAACAATGGAATACCTTCCAGAATTAACGTCAAACCATAATTATAGGTGGCTATATTTCGCATTTCAGCCTCTTAGGAGGAAATTTAATTACAGTGTAGAAAGTAACAACAGTAAAAAAGAAAGATTATAAGTCCGTGAAGACGAAAATTAAATTCAACAATACTGTGTGAAATTACTTTCTCTATAGATAAATGCGTTAGTTATATAGATGACAGTGCCTGAGGTTAATCTTGTGAAGAACAGGTGAATGAAAACACCTTTCTGCACTTTAACTACTGTAAGAACTGCGGAAAATTTCTTTGTAAACAATACGAGAAAACAATTTTAATAAAAATTTACAAAATTTATAACCTTCTTCTACTTCTGTTAAAAATTTATTTTATACGAAATTACTTAAATTAATTTGTAATTTCAGGATAAGAATTGAAATTTGCCTGTTTAATCACTTAATTAAAACATTAATAAACACTTAATTCTGAATATTTTCAATGTTTTTACATCTTAAAGTACAGTAAAAACTCGATTATTCGTAAGTTTATGTTAACCGTCAGTGTGAAGTAGAGTTTCTTTTTGCTATTGTCATAATGAAGTTGATAATGTACAGTACTGTACGTATTGCATTGTATGCTGGTTAAGGTACTGCGCTGTACAGTAGATAAACAGTTGATTGATTATACAGTAGGCTACTGTATGTACGTATAAGACTGTGTATTAATTGTGAATTATACATTAATTTTTCTGTACTGTAAGGAGAATTCTGTTATCCGCCTATTCTCATATCCATTAAGGTCTCGATCCCGAACCTTGACGAATAATAGAGTTTTTGTTGTATATGAAAAAAAATATAAATTATAAATGTAAAAATTATAGAAAGAGGCCTGTATCTACTTGTTTATATAATATAAAAACTGTTGTAAGACCAGGGCCGTATTTAGACTTGCTGCTTTTTTTAGAATAAGGCGAGGTCCCTGGTAATGTCAAGTCTTAAGCTGTAGTTTGTTTACAGTTGTCTAATTAAAATAACTTCTACTGATATTAAGAGGGCCCGAATTAGAATGTGCAAACCTACATTCACCCCTCTATCATCGGATGTAGCCTCTAGTTCTGCGAATGAAAAATCTCTTAGACATTATATACAAATTACATGTGTATAAGTGAGTTTGCCACATTCAAATCTTATTCCTGTAGTTATTTGATATTTTCTATTAATTATTTACAAAGATAAGGGCCTCTTCTGATTATGCTATTGCTTGTTTACCTTATAAGTAACACTGGTTCTACTTATAAGTCTTGCAGTTTATAAATCTGCACTTTTATCAGTTTATATACAAACTTTTTCTGTTAAAAATGCTTATCGTTAAGTTTTAAATTAATTTAAAAGGACTTATCTTCGGTTTATCCATTAATTATTTAAATTTTAAGTATTATTAAACAAATTTTTTCATTCGAAAGAATTAAAAATATGCAATAAACTCATACATATCGATGATATCAAGTTTAAATTCATCTTCCTTTATGTAGAATTATTGAATTTTTTAGCAGTAAAACCCAAATAAATTTCCAATAATATGGCTCTTATACCATGAAAACAAATTATTATCTACCTATATATAAATTTATGGATTTGTTGAATGAATAAAATGAAGTTATAAAAATTCTTTCCTATTGTCAATTGCGCGTTCTCTTGTGACATTTACTTTAATGATACATTAATTGAGCAACACACAAATGTACTTGTTAATGTGAATTCTCTAATGCTCATTATTAAAGAAAATGTCATTTATGAATAAAATTAACATGAAAATCTTCATTAAAATGAGGTAATGAATATCGTAAGAACCATTTACAGATGACGAAATTTTCTTTAAGGCCTTCTACGCGTTCCAATTTGATAAGGCCTATAAATATTAAAATCTTTTCTTTTTTACTTTATCTTAAGTTTTAAATATGTTTAAAATGCCTTTTTTTTAACCTTCTAAAACAAACTTATTTTCGATAAATGAAGTCTTTATATTCATAACGAGTAAAAGGCCTTTGTCTTTATGAGGTCTTCCTGTTTTTTCTTCATTCTATAATTCATTCTTGGTTCACTTCATCCTTTATTAAATCAAGAATGATGGTTTGCACTATAAATTAGACCGTTCTTCCCAAAACAGGTTAGTATCAACTTCAAAGGTATATTGCTAGAAAAATATATTTATGTATCTAGAAAAATATGCATAGGAGTTTTTATTTTCTTAAAGAAGGGTAAAAAAATTAATAGCTTAAATTTAATTTATTCAAATGAATTTTTCACGGTATTAAAAGGTCAACGGGTTAACGCACGTTGGTTTAAGACCTAATTTTTAAGATGGACGTGAAAATATTTCTATGGGCGTTGACAGTAATAGAGGCATCTATATTCCAAAAGAAAGGAAGTTTGTGCATCCATTTCCTTATATGGAAAAGTGTTGGAAGGACGGTAGGGTGAGGATCCATTATCTTTATTGGACGAATTCGTCAAAAGTAACCAATCATAAGTTGAGTTTTATGTTAAAATTTTTATAACATTTTTAACAGCATTTTTAAAAATACATTATTTTGATTTATTACAAACAACCGAATACATAAAAGTAGTAGAAATTCTTACATAAAGTTAAGCTATTCATCAATGTGTTGTTCAAACTTGTTTATTCTTCTATACGATAAAACTTGCCAGTCGATCAGTTTAACCTATTTATTCACAAAAAAAATTATAAATTTTTATTATATGCATTCAAATTATCACAGCCTACTACGAATTTTGAAAGGTTAATTGTGTTGTGTTAGTTTATTCCAATAGATTAGTCTATATAGATAAAGAAATAGTCTATATAGAACAGTAAAAGCTTAACAAGGTTTAGTAAGATAATATTTATATTGTATAACTTAATTAAATAGGGATCAGTTCTTTATAATGATGATTTCTTTTTGTTATATTTAATTATAATTAAATATTTATTGCGAGTGTCAAGAGATTCTTCGCATTTACTCCTTTCCATCTCTAAAAACAGCGAAAAATTCCAAACTTATGCGATGGAAAGATAAAGGATCAATATTATATAAAATACTCAAAATTGTATAAGTTATTCTCTGTTATTTTACTAAAATAATTAAAAATAAATTATCAAATAAATCAACGTATGCGTTACTTTAGCCTATATAATTTAAATATTAGGTTAACTAGTTACAAACTAACCTAATATTTGTGAGAAACAGTTTTTAAAAATTGTTTCACGCAAAGCCTATCAATTATTCGTTATTTTTTCGATGAAACACATCAAATGGGTCATAAATTTCGAAAATTTTAGATCCTGTCGAGAGAATTGCATACTTTTAGACTTTATATTATCGAAATATCGATTTGTTTCTTACAAGATTTCTAGTAAATTTATGTCATAAAGTTTCTATTGTTGTATCTTTAGTTTAAAGCATTTTATAATATATTAAGAGCCCTAAATTACGATACAAATCGCTTTAAATTCCATACTTAAAATTTTACTTGAAAGAAAGAACAAATTTTTAAATTATTTCACATCAACCTAAATGGTTAACCGAGACATATTTATCACATATTTTACGGAAAACAAGTGATTAATAATTGTTTAAATTACATTTCAAGGATTTAGGCTAATGTAAAAAAGCTTTAAAAAATGTTAATTATATAGAAAATTAAAATTTTAGAAGCTTAAATTTGTTTAATCTCTCCTTGACTTAATCCACAGATCAATATTTTTATCTTTTAAGGCCTTAATCTTTTTTGTCTTTCCTGTCTTTTATTTCAATTTTGGGCCTCCTGGCCCTAAGCTTTCCATATCTGGTCTCGATTTTCATTTATTTGACTCCGTTCTCGAGATTAACGAAGAACGGACGGACAAACGGACGGACGACAGTGGGAATTTATAGGCCTACAATTTGAAAATTGTAGCCTAATAACGTCTATATAATAATAATAATTATTATTATTATTTATATTAAACCTCTTCTTTATTGTGAGAATATTAAAGGAGAATATGCCCTCAACTGTTGTATATCGTAAAAACATGAAAATAAGCACATTTAACTTTCTTAAAGTCATCTCTAGTATTAAAAGTCTTGCATTGTGAGTTATGCATAAGTGAAAGAGGCATAATATTCTCTTATGCCAAGATTTGGCATAAGTAAGGCATAATATAATGCCTTATAAGAACGTATTTATTTTATCTTATGCCTTAAGAAGTTACAGTATCTTAGCAAGTTACTGTAAATTCAAATGTTTATTTAGATGTATTTTAATATGTTCTGATTAAATATATATTGATTTATAAATAAAAAAAGAAGATAAAATTCAGAAAATTTATATTTTAACATAGAAAAAGCATAAAATAATTTTGAATTTTGTAGACCTAATAGAATTTAAAAATTTCTGGGATTTTAAATCGAGAATACATTTTAAAGTAAACATCAACATAATCTGGATTCTGATCGAGTAGAAGACGTTTCCTAAAATTAAAAACTAAATAAATAAATAATCAAAAATTGAGGACTTTGTAAATAAATTANATTCTTAATTTAAATGAAGTATTTTTGATAATTTACAGTTTTATACTTGTAATCATCGCCTATTTAGCCTACTTTCTAAGTACTTCGCCCATTAAAACGGGCGTATTTTAAATCTGCCCTCAAACTTGCATTATAACTTTATAGCGTAAGAAACTATTAAAAAGTTTATTGTTCCTCGTTGGACAAAAAAATAGGTTAATTAGACTGACAACATCGATAATTATGTATAAAAATGTGACTTACCTTTATGTTATTCAATATTTTTGTGTCTTCATACATTGAATTGGCACTTCTCTATCTCAAGAATAAATTCCGTTGACAAATTTATATATATTTATATATATACACATGTAGGTTTTTTAATATATATATGGTTACCAACCGATAAAACATAACTGTACAATTATTGCACACAGAATAGACAGTACGTGAGCATAAGTAAAACTGCGGCAAATTGAACTTCTATATATTGATAATGGGGGATAATGGACGTGAAGATCACACAATTTCTGCGTGTCTTTTCATATGCAGGGAAAGATGATCGGAACGTGAGAAGGCCCTCTCGCAAAGTCTGCATTGGAAAGGCCTATCGCCCGTATGTTTACGAAAATGTCGAGTTAGTTCGTCGGATCTAGCAAATTTCCAACCGCATCCCTTCCACGTACATTGGTAAGGTTTCTCTCCAGTATGGGTCCTCAAGTGAGCTTTCAGATGAGAACTCTTCGAATAAGTCTTCGTGCATCCCGGATACGAGCAAGTGTGAACCGTAATCTTCTTCGGTCCTCTAGATCTACGTCCTCTTCTTGGCTTGGGTGTAGTGGGTATGGTACCCTGCTCCATATTAGCCGAATGAGATGGCAGCACAGTCAAATTATTGGGTCCTCTACCGGCTAAAAGTTCGGCTAAATGCGGGGATGCTGGAGAATCTACCATTCTACTATGGTTGCCGTAATGCGGCGTAAAAGAATGTTGTAGATGGGTTGTAGACGCGTGTGGTCTCACGAAAGACATCGGTGGTCTGGTATTTGGAGGGAAATATCCACCGTATTGCCCTCCTATCTGTGGATATCTAAACATAGAACTATCTACAGGAGCCGCCGTGGAAGAAGATGGAGATGACGAATGGTTGTTTGTTGTCGTTGGGAAAGTGGTCCATTGACCAACGTAATTTGTTGATGATAATGGTTCTCTTACACTAGAAAGAGCGGGTGTATAACTATCGTTGGGTTTAATTTCGGTAATGCTAGAATTATATCGTGATGGATACACTGGATTATAATAGGAAGGTGCAATGGAATCGTGCCCTTCTGGAATATGTCCAACGTCGTATTTCATTCCTGAATCATCTCCAAATGTGGGTTTACGTTCTACTGAAATTCCATATTCGGTTTCTAACCTGTATTCTTCGTGGCTTCTGGAGGTTGGGGCTATCTGATTCATACCCGAATGTCGACGTCCAATTGATAATTGATCTACCGGTGATCCTGCAACAGTATTTGTTGGTACAATAGTGGTACCTCCAGTACAAGCTATGGTCATATCACCTAAAAGTACACTTTCAATATCTTGCCATATCTGCAAAGGGAAGAAAAATTGGATCAAAATTAAATTTTTGATAACGTTTTCGGCAAAATAACTTAAACTTTTTCATTAAAAATTATTAATTTTACAGACTAAAAACTCAACAAAATATTATTAATTCTATATTAAAGGCAACTCATTAAGATATTAGATGTAATCCATATAAAAAGATGGCCACGATCGATCTAAAACAGTCAAATAAATCTATAGTTAATACTCATAATCGTATATCTTAAAAATAGTAAAAATTGCACCATGCAATCATTCGAATAAATCAATTTTTAGATAGGAATTTTCAAGAAATCTTCATAAAATCGAATTAATCTTTGAAATATTTTTGATTCTTACAAAGCTTCATCTATCACACATATATAGACCCTGTTTATAAATTACAAACTAAGCTAAGCTCAATTAAGAGTAGCTTTTACTGAAAATAAAACTACTATAGGCCCTACATTTAACATTGCTTAATAAAATAGTAGGGCCTATTCCGTTTTTTAAACTTCATTGAGTCAATATCTCACTTGAGCATACTTTCTGCATATTTTAATAATAAAAAATGCTATATCTGGAGTTAAAATCTGTAAGTACGATTTAAAACTACAGTCAAACCTCTATATAGTGTCATCCTGAATAACCATGCTCTTGTAAAGCGCTAATATCTGTGAACGTAAGTTATCATAAATATTAAAGAAACTTTTAGTATTTGTAAAGTAGTAAATGTACTGTACCATAAAGAAGCTAACTCAAATTCAAATTTATGTAGATCTCATTTTTATTATTTGTGACACCTCAGTTTAGCGCCGCACTCGATTTAGCGATTGTTAAAGAGGCCAACAAATAATAACTTTAAATCGAAGTTCGACTTATACCATTTAGAAGTATCAAAGAAGTCGATTTATAGCTTTTTAAATTCAAATTTTACTATTTAAATTAACATTATAAAAGGTAAAAATACGTGTAATTCTATATATTTTCGCTTTAAAATCGGGGTGAAATAATATATTTTAACATAAAATATAAACTTACTAGTAAAATGTTAATTGATGTAAAAAGAAAAACAATTGGTAATACTTTATAAAATCTATAAAATTAGTTTGTAAATTCATGAAAATATCTTGAATAATTTAAATTTTTAAACTATTTTATAAAATTATATTAAAATTAACAGGTTTTTTACACTCTATAAGGTAATATTTAATATAAAATAAAGGAATATCACTAAGTTTACTGAATTATGTTAGGAAATATTTTATCTAATTTATTATTTAAGGCAAAAATTATAATTTATTACGAATTTAATTATAATTTTTTAATAAAATTTGTTATTTTTTTAGATGCTATCGATAAAAATTCGATAATTTCTTCTTATATTTTCTATTTTTAAAACATTTTTATATCTTCGTGATCAATTTCCAAGCCATTAGATAATGTTTTCTATAGAAATACCTTAGAAAATAAAGTAATGACATTAAATTCTGGTTTAAAAAAAATACGAATTTTTATTAAAAAAAATCGTTTAAAACTTTGTCTAAGTAAATCTATAAAACGTAATTTATGTTATTCGAATCGCATTTTATATACTTTAAACAATATCTTTAATAAAGATAATATAATATTTTATATTTTAAATAATATCAAAGTCTTACAATAGTTATTTTAAGTCTATAAATTTTTATTTGAAATTTGATTTATTGAACATTGTAAATGTAAACTCGTGTATAAACACATCCATATGCTTTCCATCATACAAATGTTACTCCGTGGGATGTCTCAAAGTCAAAATATTCCCATCACGTCATATTAAAAGGCGATAGATGGCAAGTAACGATTGCTATCGTGTTTCGAATTGAAGTTGTACGCTTGTACACTTCAAGAGTCTACACTCGTACGTGGGGCCTGAGCAAATTGTAGGAGGCCCTATAGAGGATTAAATTACTATATTAAAATCAAGAAAATAAACAAAAAAATCAGCATTGTGTAGGGCCTTACTACAGAGCAGTATGCTGCTTACGTTCTACTTAGGAGGCCGTTCTCGTGCGTAAAAATAAATAAAACTTAAATAATTACGCTTACAAATGTCCCGAAAGATAAAAAATCATAAAAATTTCTATTATTATCCATAAAATTTTACTATTTTTTCCCCTACATTATCGTGTTTAAATCTATAGCTGGAGGCTTTACTAGTTTATACAATTCTAATGTATTTTAATCTATTAAATTATATCGTAAAGTTTAATATGCTAAATATATGATAATATATTCATGTTTATAATTCATAAAGAATTATCGGTATTGCGATATCATCTGGAATAATTCTAATCAATAAAAAATTTATTGCTTTCTCTATTAGACTCTAGCTACGTTTCATCAATCATAATTTGGTTAGGATGAAAGAAAAATCGACTAAATATATTAATATATATATATATTTTTGACTGTATAATATCATTTTTTTCAACGTTTAAAGGCTTCCGAATGGTGTATGAGTCTTTAAGTCTTATTACATAGATTTGAGTTCTGTAAAGTGATGATGGTGAAAAGCTCACTCCGCCATAAATTTGTATGTTTACTAACTTATAAAAGGTAACTTACATTGTTGAACTTTGGATAATGTTAGGTTATGTTACAACTAGCAATTTTCGCTGTTTAATCATCACGACTTTAACATATTCTGTTTTATTTCGTGGTAAAATGTCTCAAAATGGATGAAATCCTCTTTAAATTGGCAACTTGTAATTATTTTCTAGAATTCTTTTTTTTTTAAAAATAGGTATTTTTTTTTAAAAATGTAATTTTAAAAAACAAAAGAAAGGTTCATTTTCGAGATTTATGTACAAAACTTGATAACATTTTATAATTTTCTGCTTAAATTTTATAAGAACGAATACAAGAATAGCGCAACTATACTCATTTTCACGAAAGTAAATGAATTTTCTCATCGTTTGAGACATTTAAAATCATTTTAATCGTTTATCACGCTTTCTTTCTATAAAAATAAACGTAAATTAGTAACATAAAATTAAATTATTTTACAAAAGTTTATGTGCGGGAGTAAATCTACTGTCCTAGGACATAAATGAAATAAATCGCCTTAAGACAAAAATAAATCCTCCTTTGTTTATATATTCCATCGAACTGTATATAAATATTAATCTATTAAAGAAGAAAATGATATCTATAGCAGATGATATGGATTAAGTCTTGTATAAAGTGCTACGTGCATCACTAACCCACGTAGCACGACTAACATAAATCAAACAAGTAACACCATATATCTTGTAGATCTAGTAAAGTCTAGGCAAAATTCTCTTTATGATTCATACAGACCGAAAGAGGGATTCACCTGCTTAAAGATGCAATCTCTCCTAATGCAGGATGCACATCAGCTGACTCACAATCAATATCTGAATTAAAAAGCAGCTGAAAAGCGTTGTTGATTATCACCTGTACGCTATTTTGATGCACCCTGATGATTTATTAACGGTTATAATTACCCTATTAATCCCTTAACGATCGCAAATAGAATATTGTACATTATTACATCGTGTAGTGTATTATCAGTTTAAACATATGATTATCGCAGCATCACCCCCAAAGAAAAAAAAGTGTAGATTATATAAAAAACAGGATGAGTGAACGGAGATAATTAAAGTATTTTCTAGTGTAAATTTATATCTTATGTGTATTAAATAGAAAAAAAAATAAGTCCTAGTTTCTCTTAAATTATATACTTCAGCCTACGTCAACTAGTTTCTTCTTCTTTTTTTTTTTATTTCTAGTGAACTTTTAACCTATCCAGTGAAATTAAGTCTATAGCATATACTGATCTAAATTCGTATTTTAAGGATGTTTCATTCTAATTCAATTATTCTCAACTATGTGGGTCATCAAAAATAAAACAAAAAAATGTCTCTTAGTCCAAGGACATTGGAAAACAATCAAAAAACAGGTTAGAACGACATCTGGAAAAATGAAGAGTTATCCTTTTTAAACTAATTTCTCTCCAAAAATGTCGAAATAGGCCATGTTATAGACTAGTTTTGAATCAAAGATTTATCATAGATCTCCGCATAACCCAAATCTCTTAATCACACAATTATACTTCGTTTCCTAAATTCGTACCTTAATTTTCACATTAAAAGCTTTTAAATTCAACAATTTTTCGTTTTAATAAGGCTCGTAGAAGGCTAAACTCGAAGATTCTAGCTTTTAACTTTTCGTAGAAGAGTTGTGATCGTGTGTTGCAGTGAAGCCTTCTATCATGTTAGAAATTGAAAATATTCCAATTTATATATTAAATATTACGCATGTATTTTTAAATTTTATTAGTTTTAATATAAAAATTTAGCTTTAATTTAAAATTATAGCTAAATTCTTATATAAAAAATAATAAATAAAAATTTTCTTACGAGTATTGCAGTGAAGCCCTTACTACACGTTGAGTAACTTGCAGAAATATATGCATATAAACAAGATATTATTTTATTAATGTAAATAAATAATAATTTGAGCGTTTAAACATAAAATTTACATATTTAATCAAGTTTTTCGCTATAAAATCCTGTTTTTTTTAGTAAAAACGTAAAAATCAACCCTCCAGTTCTTCAATGGATTTAGACAAACCGCAACGTTCAGAGCACCTATCTTTACTCTTGAAGAGTCGAAATTATTGAAAAATTAGTTTTTTGCGGACATTATTTAAATAACTTAAAGATAAATCGACTGCATTATACTTACCTGCGGTTTAAAATGCTAGAGACTCATTACTATATTAGTTGCTCATCACCAGAGAAGTAATGCTATTTCGTGCAATATGTGGCGAAAAACTGGACAAAGAGGGCGTTTCCTAAAAGAACTGGTTTGTTGCCGATAGGAATAAAAACATTTGCTAATCAAAGGACATTTACACTTAACCGTTAAAAGTAAACTCGATTATAATTGTTTATACACCATCAAACTAATCACCAAATAAATCAGACAGAAAAAAAGCAGAGTTCAAAGGTTAATTTCTAGATCTAAAAATAAAAAAATTCCAGATAAATTTTAGAATCTACTCCCTAAAAACCGAAACTTCGCTACAACGTTGCTTCGATTTTACGAGAATTTAAATAAAACATGAGTTACTGGATTAAAGTCTAAATGCTAAATTATAAAATTTACTTTATATAAATTTGTAAATTGATAGAAAAAAGGCTGCTTACATCGTGGAAATCCGCCATTTCCGAAGTCATGACGGCAGCCCTGGGGGATAAAGGATCCGGCGGTGATACACTTACAATCGCCGTAACTGTCGACATTACAAGGCTTCCAGCCTCCAGGCTTCGCTAAACGAAGTCTTCTTGCAAGCAGGTAAGGTACCTGAGACTTTCTGACCAGTTCACATCCGTAAACGGCCCTTTTTCATTGGATCTCAGCCTCAGGTGTCATTAAGCCTAACTTCCAATAGTCTGTTAAAGAAGACTCCAGACGGTAGGTGGGTGCGCGCGCCGCCTCGCACGCGCCGAATTGCCCAATGGCGTTACAGGCGCACGTTGTATAGGTTAGATAATAGGAGTCGAGAGAAGAAGCTTGTCAATCTGATTAGGCAAAACTGCGTCTGTTTATCTCTGTCACCACCCTCCATACCACACGGCAACCACGTATCGATCCGCATCTCTTCCGCAACCTTTCCATCATGCGCCACTGGAGACGTGGTGCGAACCTCCGACTCGCTCTACCGTAAACAGGAATCTAAAACCAAGAAGAGACGGGCAAGGAAGAAAGAAAAAAAAAAATAGAAAGGCAATTTTTTCCTTCCAGCTAACAAACGCTTCCATTCTATTCTTTACACGGTTACCAACTAAATAATTATTATCGAGTGTATTTATCATTGTCACTTTGTTTTCCTGACTGCTTTCCCTTATCTGTAGTTAGCAGTTGGAGTGTAGAATCTCTCCGGGTGTTCTTAACAATTCTGACTACCGACTATTATCATAGAAATAAGGACAACTAATGCCACTAGGTATCTCCCGCTGTTCGACTACTTACTGTAATCTTTTACTTCGTAGATTTACCCGGCGATCTTTAAAAAAAAAGAAAAAGAAAATGATTGCAGTTCCTCTCCATCTTCTCTCGAGAATTCTCTTCTATTTTTTATCAAGATAAATTCTTTCGATTTTTCAAATAGCATCCACGTTACTTGGTACCATTTACAACGCCAAAATTTACTATTAAAAAAAAAACTCTAAAGAACTAAATTACGTCTTACAGTAGCCATATCTTCGAGTTTTATATATAAAATTTTTATTAATTTCGTTATAAGTGACTAATTTTCTTATTCTAAACTGGCGTATCGAGTTACAGGAAAACAAATTACTACATTGACTACAAGAGGAATAATTTCTACCCGACGAGAGGAACTTTAATAAGAATTGGAGAATATAAAAATTTCCAATTTATTTTAATTAAATACATTTAAAAATTAATTAATTTGATGCAAGAATTAATGTCGCTGACGATAGCAATTGACACAGAAGCGATGTATAATCGAAGCCGTAGTCACAGCAGTTTTTATTTAGGTATCAAAGTTCACTTCACCTAATTATACGCTGCTTTTTTTAATAATATGAATTTGATGTATTTGTCTTGCATTTGCATATCGGTGGCTTAAATGTGGCCGATGCATCCATCGGGCGCAAATAATAGACTAACAGCTGATGAGTATCAGGATCGGGGAAGGGGCACGTACACATATGTGGACGGGCAAATTACGATATGAACGCATGAACATACACTGAAGATGATGAATGGAGCTGGGCGAGATGGCAGGGATGAAATTTTCCCAAGGGGATAGCTACATCAATGGTTAGAAGAGGATACAGCGCGATGACCATTCCATCCTTTGAAAAATCCTTGGAGACGTTTCTCTTCGTGTAGACTTTCCTACAAATTCAAAGGGGGAACTTTTGAATTTGTCATCGTCGGCGTTTTATATATTAAAAATTCGACGGTAAGTGGCGACCTCTAGTGTATTTTTTAAAGACTCTAAAGTATTTTTCGGCAGGAACAATAGGGTAGGTCGTTGCATTATCGGCACGAGATCCATATTGTGTGACGAAGATCGGAAGAGGTTTTCTAATTTGCAGCTGTTCACGTTTAGCCTAAAGCCAATTCGGTTCAATATAGAGCCTATTTTATACGCTCTCGTTTAAAATAAACTTAAAAATAAAAAAACTACTGAAAAATAATGAAAATTTACTTTTATTCTTAAATCATAAATACGTAATTTCACAAATTATACCAGCGCTTTATTAAAAAAAAAAAATAAACTTTTATGTATAGTTAATTACATAATCGGAGCGAATGATGCATAATTAGGTATAATATTAAACTTTTTTTTTAAATCTATACATATTAACATATAAATTAAATAGACGCTAACATTGTTACAAACGCTCGTAGATAAATAGTTACTTAATTTATTTTCCTATTGTAATTCTATTTAAGATTTAATTACATAAAAAGAGATAATTTTTTCCTTAAATGCCTCAGAAGAAGAAGAGAAAGAGCAACCAACAATGCAGGCAATAGGCCAATAATGAGTTCGACGCACGTGCGATCTTGCATCACGGATGGCAGCGCACACGCCTTTCTGTGCAGCATTGTTGACCTATCACTTAGCTCTGGGCGATAGTTGTCTAATACAGAACATCACTAAGGACTTAATATTCAGCGCTAGCCTTTCTTTTTAGCTCATCTTGCCATCTGCCTGTTACAAGTGGACACTGACAAGAATCTCGATCAAGCCAACTTCTTTTTTCTTCTTCTTCTTCTTCTTCTTTCTCTCATTCCTGTTTTGTAAGTAGAGTAGATTAATAGTTCTATACGCATAGACACATTCGGAATGAATGATTTACCTCAGTAAATTATTATATTGAAACGCAGATAATCAGTTTGTATGTCAAACAAAGAATTTTCTAGCTCGGAGCTAATTTCGTTTCTCTTTTTTTCCCTATCCCTCTTTCCTAAATGCTTGATTGTCTTTAAGGAACTGAGACAAAGAGACAGTGTAGACCTGTTTTCTTCCATTCCCCTCTTTGTTGTGGATCCAGACTATTAATTTCGGGACGGTAGATCTATTAAAGAGACTCATTTGGTATATTTAGATCCATTATCGGTTAGTAGCCCGAGGTACGAGTAAATAAAAGCTTTTAATTAGCATCTCTGTGTGTTCGATGGTATGAGCTGATAATATAAGTTAACTCGGATAATAAATTTGTAATTATAACTATAAAATTACTTCATTAAATTCGTCTCTCGTGTTTTACTCTCAGATTTTTCTATCCTCTTCTCTAACTTCTCCCGCTTCGGGCCCTATTTTGAAGATGTCAAAAGCAGTAAAACAATGCATCAGATAACAGTTATAAGGTGTGAGAGGGTGTTTAGGGAACAGCTTAGAATCCGGCACACTCATAATTACCTGCTTTTAGTACAAAGACGCTGGAGATAAGTAGGCATTCCCTTTTTTTGACAACTGTTGGCATTTTCGTAAAGAATACGTCTATTGTGCTAGTAATTTTGGGGAAATACACCATCAGAAAGATTCTAAATCCAGATAGTAGTTAATCAATGAGGATAAAGAGCAATTTTCTACCTTTAACACCTTTTTCTACCCTAGATAAACCTTCAGATACCTTGTAATTTCGGTTACAATGGTTCCGTTAGCATTCACTTTTTATATCTATCTCCCTAATAAGATATACTTTAACTGCATTTTTTCTAATTTAAAAAATTTAATTTATGTACAGATAGGAAAGTCGGGTCAATACACTCTACTGTGCTTCTGCCTTGTAAATTATCGAAGAATAATATACTCAATATTTAACGGATGTATTATCAGTCTAAAAAGGGGTAGATAATGTAACAAAGCAAACATAAATCCTACCGTAGATCTATAGAGGGGATAGCAAATGCCTACCGTAACTCTATGAGTTTCGGATGATGGTAACATTCATTACATACGTCGTCAGTCTCTCCCACCTGTCTTCTTTGATAGAGTAGCTGTGGCATGTGCTAATTACATACCTGACCAATGGAGACGGTGCCTATATTAAGCCTACACATACGTGATATAGGTCTACTATTCTGTGTGTTTATATTGTGTACAGGTAAAGAATCTTGCCGATCCTTCAGCTTCTGACATAGTCAAACACTATTCATCATTAATTTAATGATTTAAGACGCTTGTTTTTTTAATGTATTATTATTATTTTTCTCTATTTCTTGTCTTCTTTTATTTCCATCTTGAGGAAAAAATTATTAAATAATCAAGACGGGGTTATGAATTACAAGGGACTTACCCAATTTCCAGTTATGCGCGGGAGTGTCAACCAAAATCTTTTATGGTTAAAGTTTTAAATGTTTCGTTTTTTTATTTTCTTAATGTGAGTCTACATTCTTCTTCACTTTTCTAAGAAATGTACTTATAAAATTATCTGTTAAAAGGGTATGTAATGTATAATCATGTTATCAAAGGGCTATATATTATTATTTACATCACGAGTCTTGTGGGCAAACGAAAGGGTTCAGAAGGTTCTTATTTTATGACAAGATTACATAAGAAAAAAAGATAATTATAATATATATAAATCCTAAGTTAGGTTGATTAAGTATACTAAAAGTATATGTAATACGAACTTTGGTACAGTACACGATCTAGACTGAAGAAGTTAGTGAAAGGACGGTGACATACATAAAAAAAAACAGGTTCGACATCTGTCAGAAGATAGAACTTTACGAGGACAAGACAATGTCATACAACCATTAACGCCCTAATCAGTGAAAATGAGGTTATTTATTATTATCATTGTTCATTCTATTGAGTAATTGCGACGGGTTGGAGTTTTATATAATAAGATATTCGAGTTGTGTACAAACAACCACCCGAAATAAAAACCACATAAAATAGAAAAAAAAAAAATCATCGGAAGTTATCTTTTAGAAACCAGATCTCCTCCTATTCCTAATTTCCATCATAAGTTACAGGAAATGAGTCACGAACGATGCAACCAATCAAGATGCAATTCTCGACGCCCAAAACTTCTCATTAACTTTCCATTTCCATACTTTCCCTAAAGTTCGATGACATTTAGGAAATAATACAAGGTTGTTTCCCTTTTTTTGGTTGGTTTTTCTTTTTTCTTAATTGTCAAGTGGTCGAAACCTCGAAGTGAACTATCCCATCAACTGTCATAATGCTTCCAGAACCATCATTGTGTATCTGTACGCCCACGCAACTTATAGGATTGTTCTAACACAGGGTCACGTTCGGGTGTGTCGCGACTGGGAGTGGTAAGGACTCAAGTTGAGGGCGCTGCCTGTTCAATCTAACCCGTTACTCTGTCTGT